GTATAGAGCAAAATTCGCCCTAGAAAAGTACTAGCTTATCTACTTTAGTAAGGCTAAATCAACCTATAATATAAAGCAATCAATCACTATCTAAGGCTTTGAAACCTAACTATTAGCAGAGCTTAGGGTACTAGGGATCTAGCTAGATCTAAAACTAAATTAGGGACTATAAGTAAAGAAGGTAAAGTAGAGGGTAGATACTAATATATAATCTATTAATAGACTTATAGCCTCTATATAGGGGGCTATATTCGAGAAAGCTAAAGTTATATATAAAGCAATTGTTAAGCTAGCGATGCTATATAGAGCATAGATATAGACAGCCTAGGAGAAAACACTAAAGAGGATTAAGCAACTAGTTAGCAGGTCCTAAACCTAAAGCCTAAAGAAAATCCTAGGAGTATACAAAACTATACTAATAAGGGTAGTAGAAATAGAATTAGGGATCCTACTAGTCAAACAATACTTTAAGGGACTAAGACACTAATATACGGTAAAGATAATAGAATACCTAGTCTAACAGACTATCTAAAAGGCACTAGATAAGATAAAAGCCTAGTATATTAGGACTAGGAGGCGAGACAGACTATAAATAACTCCCTAGAAAGTTAAAGACCTAGAGCAATATAGAGTCTTAATAAGAGAAATGCTAGAGAAAGAGCTTTAGGGACTAAATATAAGGCTAAAGGAAGACAAGCTAAAGGGAGAGAAATAAAGCCTAGCAGAGTTAATTGCTAGATACCTATAGGAGCAGGAATAGAACAAAACACAAGTTAGACTAGGAACCCTAAAGGCACTAATCAAATTTAGTTAATACAACTATTAGCTCTATAAGGACCTAAATAGGGCCGAGGCAAGCCTAGCTATCTAAATTAGATCTAAATATATTAGACTTAGGTCTTACCTATTTAGAAGAAACGTCCTAGGAATTGAAAGCAGAGCGTACTAATATAGCTACCAATCTTAGAACCCTAAGTATATACTACTAGTCTGCCCTTAGTAGTTAGAAGGTAGAAGTAATTAGAGACTAAAAGCAATAGAAAGGGAATACAATAAGCTAATCTAGAGCAAAGAAGACCTAAAGAGGATAGTAAAGTAGATTATTAAATAGGGATTTATATAACAATTCGCACTAGTAAGGGAAACTAAGGAGTAGATAAGAAGGAGGGAAGAAGAGGGGGAAAGAAGGGCAGGGTAGTAGGCAAGGTAGTTAGAGGGTAATAACCATAATACTAGTATACCCTAAAGGAAGGAAAACAAGGAAACGAGGAAGATTAATACTTATAAATAGGATAGGAGGGAGGTTTTTACCAACTAAGTTAGTTTCCTACCTAAAACAATACATAGAAACAGACCTATATAGGCCGAAAGGCACTACAACAGGCAAATGAAATATCTATCTATCTATATATAGTCTTCCTTCTAGGGCTTCCTTAGTACTACTATTAGGGACTTCCTAAATAGTCTTAGGTAGTGTCCTAGTGCTAGGCTTTATAAAAAGATATTAGCTAGTGCTAGGGCTAGCCCCTTCCTATATGCTTTTAGAAGTTTGTTATAGATCTTGTTTTCTCCTAGTGCCTTATTACCTAGAATTTTCTTTAGGATCCTTTCAATAGTTTCGGGTTTAACCTAGGTGTCTCTTAGTATACCTAGCAGTAGAGTCTCTTATTCTTCCTCCTTTATATCTAATAGGTCTACTTATACTTTTCTATAGAAGAAGTGTTAGCCTAAGGCTCTTACTTTCCCTTCTATTATAGTCTATATTTGTCCTTGTTAGTCTATAATGTCTAGGAATTGTAGTAGCATATTCTTTTCCTATTTAGGCCTCCTTGCCTATTTAGCTATCCTCTATATCTCCTCTAGTTTCTTTATAATTATTCCTATTATAGATCTCTATTCTTGTATCTTGTCTTTCTTAATCTAGATCTTCTTTTCCTAGTAGGCTTTATTATAGTTATCCTATACTTCCTAGGTATAGGTTTATATCTACTACCTCCTAGCCTTCCTTACTACTTTAACCTTCCCTATATACTTACTAGTCTAGTATAGTCGCTAGTATAGTGAATGTTTCTTTGCTAGGGTATACTTTCTAGCTACCTATTGTAGGATTCCTATTAGTTCTTCTACTGCCTTATTAATGTCCTCTAGCCTTAGTAGGTGCTTTATTAAGAGTTCCTCTATTTTTGGGTCCCTTTCTAGTTCCTCCCTAATCCTACCCTATTTAGTACCTTTCTAGTTAAGCTTCTCCTCTAGTTCCCTTTCCTAGTTAGCTTAGACATTTAGCTCAATCTATACCGGGAAGTAGTCTAATAATTCTTCTAGTTCCTAGTTAACCCTGTATCTTATAATCCTGTTCCTAATCTAATATAATGCAAAGTATAGGTCTAGTGTGCTACTACTTCCTCTTGCCTCCTAAGTAATTAGTCCCTTTAGGGTAACAATTTCTATTCCTTCCCTCTCTAATATATCAATTAGTCTTCCTACTAGGAAGTAGTAAGCTAGGGTAAAGTCTAAGCCCTAGAGGGGGTAGTAGAGGTTGAAATCCCTAAGTAGGATTTAGTAGGTGTTCCCCTAGATAACTCTAGGTAGTCTTTCTAGGGTTTTTAGTTAGGTACTGCTTCTTAAGTCTAGTAGTAGGTTGTATATACAGTAGACTTGGAGTGTACCTTAGGATGTCTCTACTTAAACTAATATTAGGTCCCTATCCTCCTATAGTATAGCCTACTAGGTTTCTATATCTATCTCCTTGCTAATATAGATGTATATCCTTAGGGCTCCCTAGTTGTAGATAATTAGGTAGTATCTTAGGTCTTTAACTGTTGCTAGTCTCTTTGTATATAGGTTAAGCTAGGGCTTTTAGATTGCAATAATATAATATTCTTTTAGGTTTAGTATTTGAAGGAAGCTCCTCTATACCTTGTCTTTGCTCTTATTAATATTATACTATATAATGTTTAGTGATATTGCAATGTTTATTAGGTTTTATCTATATTATTTCCCTATAAGTTTTCCTTTAGTCTTCCCTTACTTTAGACTAATATTTGACTAAGCTTTGTCTGCCCTGCTTCCTTTCCTATAATATTAAGGTATCTTAGTCTCCCTAGTTGCTAGTAACTCTCTTGTGCTAGTAAGGCCCTAAATGTGAACCTATTATCTTACCTAGACCTCTTTTATAGCACTTAGCTAGGTTGCTTCTATACCTAGCTACCCTAGCTTATTATATATCTTTTTAGTATATTGATTCTAGCTTCCTTTGCCTTCCTAGCTACCTGTATTCTTACCGGGCATTCCTTCGCCTAAGAGGGGTGTCTTTTAGTATAGTATACATATCTTGCTTCTCCCTTATATACTTTACATTCTTTAACCTAGTAATCCCCTATATAATAGGAGCAAGTGTTGGTTATCTTTATATACTTAGCTGCTAAGTGTCTATAGTATTGATATTTGAAGCACTATATTATCCTATAGTTGCTTCTGTATATCTCTGTTTCTAATCTTTTAAAGTCCTAGAACAACCCCTAGTCTAGTACTATATTAGCCTACTCTGCACTCCCTACCTAGATAATTAGGGAAGACTGCTTCTTAGTCTCTTCGATTTTCCTTTTAATCTATACTACTTTTGTAATCTTTAGGCCTAGGTATATAGCTTGGTTTTGTCTCTATAGGCTCTTAATATCCTGTTCTTCCTTAAAGCTTCTTATTATGCCGTAGGCTATAATTATAAATTGCTGTTAGGAGACCTTTACTATTTTCCCTATCTTAGTTGTCTATTCTTTTTGTGTTTCTAGCTTCTTTTTATCTTACTCTTATGCTATAAATAGCTTAATTACCCCTTTACCTTCGTTCCTAGCCCTAATTACCTCTTTAACTGCAATTCTTTCTATAATCTCTTTCCCTATAAGTCCTTAGACTTCCTTTTGCTCCTATAGGTCCGTAATATAGACTCGAACTACTGTCCTCGGGGGTTTTAGCGCCTCCTAACTAGCTACTACTACCTAGGTGCGGTAGTTTAGGCTTATCTCCTATTGTTTCTTCGTAATCTTTGCTACGACTGTATTAGCTACCTTTATAATTACGTAGCTTACCTAGTTGTAGATTGCTTTTAGTCCTCTAAGGAGTTCTAAAATTATTATCCTATATGCCCTCTTAGGGGTTCTTCTATCTTCTACCTTTAGTACCTCCTCTGCCCTAGTATATAGTGCTTTCTATTCGTCCTCCCTTCCTTCTTAACTGTCTTCCCTTCGTCTCTAATTGTTCGCTGCTATCGCTTCCGTAACTCTACCCTCGTATATAGTGCTTTCGACACTTTAGAGTATATATAAAGGAAGGGGGTTCCTCGGAAAACAGTACCGAAAAACAAGAAGGCTTTAGGTAGATAGGAGAAGGCTAAAAAGAGTAGGCGGACGAAGACTATCGCGAAGAAAAGTTATCTTTCTAACTGTACTTATTAGGTATAAATTTTATCCTTTCGCTCGCTGTTTAATTCCCTAACTGCTCGGTAGAATGTTATTATCTAGATCTAGGTAGAACTTATCGATTTCCCTAGAAGCCCTCCTTAAGAAGTTCGAACACTTTCTAACTAAACTATTCTCTAATATTAAGTACTATAATAGCTCCTCCCTCGGTATCGGTATAGTATATAAAAGAGCTATAAAGCAGCTCTATAGAACGTTCTACTAGTTACTCGCTATACTAAGGCCGAATGCTAGTTCGTTCCTTAGAACTCTTAGTTATTTAGGAGATATTAAGGATAGGGTAGGCAGTAACTTCGTATTATATAAGGAGGTAGAGGCTACTATAGAGGAGTCCTTTAACCTATAGAAGATAGTAAAAGATATAGAGGCAGCTATAGGTCTAGGTACCTAGTTAAATTTCTAGTAGGTAGAGTATAAGGATATTTAGAGGGAGTATTAGGTAGAGTTGCGAAGGCAGGTATATAATATAGTCTATAAAACAGGGATAATACCTATAACTATAAGTATTAGGCTCTTCAACCTTGCTTATTTTTCCCTGTTTTCGTTTTATAAAAATCCAAACTAATACAAATCAACCGGAATATATATCTTCTTTTAGTTCTTTAAAAAACCTAGTAGCGTAGCTAGTAGCGTAGCCGGCCTTTTTACTCCTTAGAACTAACGGGATTTTCGAAGACTTCTATTCCGTACGGCTAATAAAGTATACTATACTATATATATATACTTAGAGAGTATTTAGAGCGCGGTATATAGCGCCGTATAATAGCGGCTTATTTCGTATATAGAAAAGCTTATAAACGATACTACGAACATCCTTCCTACTAGAATATCTATCCTACCTAGTACTATCTCGAATGTAGATATTCTAGCCTTTTAGAATCTAATCGAGTGCTTTGAAATCCTTATCTATAATCGTTATACGCTTCGCGTAGATAGCTATAAGGTTAACCGCTAAAATAGTATTAGTATAGTCCGAAAAGAGGTAGAAGAGAAATATATATTCGAAGATACGAATTAGGTAGGCTTCTATAGCCTCTTAAAGGGCGCCTATCGCGGAGGCTTAGAAGCGAAGGTCCGTTCTATAATCCTAGGCAATTTCGCGAATAAGTCGTTAGAAAGGAGCTTTACGGATTAGGAGATTAGAACTCTTCTAATACTTCCGAATCTTATAGAGGGCTACGGCTAAAGAAGGATTAGTAAAAAGACAGTAAGAATACCGGCTACGCTGCCGGCTACGCTACCGGCTATAAATAGGACTTACTTCCTAGGCGCTATCGACGCTTCGTACGATTATTACTACTAGTAGTAGAAGCGCTAGTCGTCGTTTTACGTAGAGCCTTACCCGCCGTTGTCTTACGTAGAGCCTTGCTCGCGACGCCCTTTCTAGTACCGGATCTAGCGGTAGTAGTAGTAGCCTTCTTACGTTAATATACTATACTCGTTCTACTATTTCCGGTCTTATTACGACCCGTAGAAGTAGTAGGTCCCTTCTTACGAGGCGTCGTAACTTAGTTAAGTAGACTCGGTATTATAAAAGTCGTCGAATTAAGGAAAAAAGTGCGTTACGAAGGTATACGAAAGCGCGCGCGGAGCGAGGGTATTACGTAGATAGTAGATATAGAGCGTAGAGGTATAGGTATCGATACGAAGGTTAAATATAGCGAGAGAGGTAGTATCGCGGTATCGCTAGGTAATAGAGTAAGCGTCGCGTAAGCCTATATTATAGTAACGTTAGAGTAAGGAAAGAAGGTAGGTATAGCTAAAAAAGGCAGGTACGGTAAACTTTGAAATATAGCCGGCATATATAGCTAGTATAGTAATAGGCGAAAGCCTCCTTTTAATAAATAGCCGGCCTAATAATAGTATCCTACTATAGTATAGATATTCTTTAGTAATGCCCTTACTAGCTATAGTAATCTTATAAGTAACCTAGGCCTATTGCTAGGAAATATAAGAAATATTAGGTAGGCTATACTAAATAAGCTAGTTATTTAGTAGGAAAAGGCCTACTACCGTCTCTATATGCCGGCTACGAGTGCCTGCTATCGCTCTAAATTCAACTCCGCCCTATCTCGGAGGCTAAGGTACCGAGCGGAAACCCTATAGCTTATATTTACTCGGTTGTCGCGGAGCGCTTATAGGTAAGGTATTAGAAAAGAGTATAAAAAGTACGAGAAGAGTATCCTAGGATATAGGTCGTAAGTAAATAAGAGTAGCACGCCTAGTTATTTATATAGTACGTTACTCTATACGACTAAGAGCCTATATTATCTCGTACTTCGCTTATAAGACCTCGACTCTACTAATATACTATTAATCTCCTACTCGGTCGCTGTTTTAATTCTTCTTCGAGTTGCCGGACTTAGTACGTATCTATCGCTATATAATAGCGCTACGTATTATAGAGAATTAACTGTACTGTATCTCGAAGGCTAAGGTACCGAGCGGAAATCCTATAGCTTATATTTACTCGGTTATCGCGGAGCGATTATAGGTAAGGTATTAGAAAAGAGTATAAAAAGTACGAGAAGAGTATCCTAGGATATAGGTCGTAAGTAAATAAGAGTAATACGCCTAGTTATTTATATAGTACGTTACTCTAAATAACTAGGAGCCTATATTATCTTATACTTCGCTTATAAGACCTCGACTTTACTAGTATACTATCGATCTCTTCCTCGGTCGCTAATACGCTATCTTAATTCTTCTTCGAGTTGCCGGACTTAGTACGTATCTATAGCTATATAATAGCGCTACGTATTATAGAGAATTTCTCGTTAAAGTTTCTCTCTCGTAGGCTTACTATCTACTTCGTAGTATAGAGGATTAAAGTGCTAATACTAAAGAATCTCCTTATAGTTAGGATACTAGGGCTCCTTAGGACCTTTGTATTTTAGGTCTAAATAGAGACGTATTATAAACGTTCTATTGCCCTTTCGCTTACTACCCGCTAGGTCGCGATATACGAAGAAACTAATCTAAATATAGCTCGTCTCTATAATAGCCGGGTAAATATAGAGCGCTAGGTTTCTACTTCGTACCTTAGATTTAGGGACGGCGCGGAGATAAAATTAGAAATATAGCCGGTACCTATAGCCGGTAAAAGGATGCGAAAATAGGCCTCCTCCTAGGTTAATCTACCGACTAAATACAATTTCTAACTAATCCGCTATAAACCGACGCCGAATTTTAGCTAGAAGCTATATATCTTTATTTTAAAGAGTAACCCGCTTCGTATAGATAGTAAGCAGGTTTAAAAGCTTAAGCTCGATTACGAGAAATGCCTCTATAGCTTCTTAAAGAGTACTAATCGCTTTAGCCGTAAATCGTATACTAGACCGAAAATCTAATATAATTTCTCGGACGAGTCGCTAGAAGGGAGTCTTAGGGATTAAAAGCTTAGTCCCTCTTTTATTTTAGAAAAGCCGGATCTAGCGAAGGGTAATAGTACCTAGTTTAAAGCGCTACTTCTTTATCGTCGAGTCCTGCCTTATTCCCTTTTTTTAATAGAAAGATAACTTTTCTTCGCGATAGCCTTCGTCCGCCTACTCTTTTTAGCTTTCTTCTATCTATCTAAAGCCTTCTTATTTTTCGGTACTATTTTCCGAGGAACCCCTTTTCTTTATATATACTATAGAGAGTCTTGCTCTTCCGATATCTCGTTCTCGCTACGGTCTCCCTATATCTAGCTTACTTTACCCTTGCCCTTTAGGCTCTAAAGATATTTATCTACGCGTTTAGGCGACGAGGGTATATCGGTAGGACCTAGAAAATTAATAAGCCTATAATCGTAAGGAGATATTTGTACTTCTTACCTTCTAGAACAAATAGTCTTCTATTAAACCGCCTTAGTAGGTTATCGTTAGATTTAAGTAAAGGATAGTCGCTTAAGGAAGGGGAGGTAGCTAGCTTAGGATTCTATTAAAGCACTAAAGCACTTACTATTTAGCGAGTTGTCTTTACTCCCTGTTCCTAGGAAGCTATTCGTAGAGCTTATAATAGATTTTATTATAGGCCTTCCTCCTACTAAGCGTAGGGGCAGCAAGGATATATATAATGCTATCCTTATTATAGTAGATCGATTTACTAAAGGCGCTCGATATATCCCGGCGCGGAAGGATTAGACTACTATTAATATAGCAGAAGCGCTATAGAATAATATCTTCTATACGTATTAGGGAACCCCTAAGGGGATAGTATCTAATCGTAGATCGATACTAGTATCGCACTATTAGAGCGAAATATACCTATAGCTAAGACTAAAGCATCGGCTATTAATAGCTTTCTATCTATAGACTAACGGTTAAACAGAGAGGCAGAATGCTACCTTATAGCAGTACCTACGTAGCTATATTAATAATAGCCCTAAAGACTAGGTTAACCTCCTATAGCCTATAGAATTCGTATACAACAATAGTGTATACTTATTAACTAAGGTTTTACTATATATAGCTATAATAGGCTAAAACGCTGCTTTACTATAAGACCTATTAACGCTCAAGGCCGAGCGCTAGGAAAGGGAAGCGCGTTAAGTACTAGAAATACTAGCGGCAATAGAACGTATCTAGAAGATACGAGAAATCTATGCTAAGATAGCTAAGAAGCTAACAAAGGCTTAAGAGTACTAAAAGACCTACTATAATAAGCGTTATATACCGATAACCTTTAAGCAAGGCGATATAGTTATACTTAGTATAAAGAACCTCCGCATCCGCAAACACCTATTACCTAATAGCAAAACAAGGCCTAAGCTCGTACTAAGATATATTAGCCTATTCCGCATTCGAGAAGTTAAGGGCCCCTCTATATAGGCCTATTAGTTATAGCTTCCTCCTTATTACACTATCTATAATACCTTCTACGTGTCCCCCCTTAAGCTATATTACTAGCGCGAAGGCGATAAAGCGCCTACTAAGTTAGAAGAAGTCTTAGCTAATAGTAAAGAGCTATAGTCGGTCGAACGAATACTAAAGTATCGGACTAGACAAGGTAAGAAGGAGTACCTACTAAGGTAGTAAGGCTATTCGCCTAAATAGGACTTATAGGAAGCTAAAGGCTCCTTTAAGGATATAACTAAGTTATTAGATAAGTATTAGACTAGTATAAAGAATAAGAAGAAGGCTAAGGGCCTATAATGTTACTAGAAGTCGCTAGAGAGACCTAGGATTAATACTACCCCCGGGGTACTATTAGCTAACTAATTAGAAGCAAGTAATTGTTAGCGAAATGAGACTATACTATAATAGTAAACGCGTACCGAGTATTAACAAGCGCGCTACGACGTATTAACTAATTGCCTGCTCTTTTAAGTATTCTACCTCCTTACTAACGTAGCAAGGCCCTTCTCTTAGTCCTTAGGCCCCCTCCCGTTCCTTCTATTCTATCGAGGCCCCGAGGCCTAGGCGATCCGCGGGGACGGCGCGCGCGCGTATAGTAATAATAATAATAATAATAGCGTTACGGCACGAGCTAGCGATATGTTAGAAGACGGCGCGGCTATATTAGTAACGGTATTACTAAGTATATTGCTAGTTAAAGAAGGAAATTAGAAGCAAGGTAAAGTTAGTACTAAGACGGCTAGCGCCGCTATTATTAATATTACCTGCTATTATTATTATACCCGTAAGAACAACCTTACCTATACCGCGGTCTAAGGCCGGAATATACTATACTAACTAAGCTAAAAAAGATTAAGCTATTCGAGGGGCTCGAGGCTTAAAAGGTTAAGCGATTAATAGACTAACTAAGGGCAAAAATATAGAGCTAAGCTAGCCGGGGTCGATCTTGCGGATAATAGGTTACTCCTCGATCTTTCCGATCCTTTAAGCGAGGCGAACCTTAACTATTATACTTATAATAGCCTTTATCTATAGAAACTAGACAAACTATGTTTTTAAAAGATAAGGTTAATTAACAATTAAAGGCCGCTAAACCTAACTAATTAGGGCTAGCGAAACTACGAACAATAATAGCCCTCGTAATAATAAGAACAATCCCTCGGAAGCGGATATTTCTAGGTCTTTTAGAGTAGACGTAAAGAACTCGGATAATATTACTTAGAACGGAGGCAGCACTATAATACCTCGTACGTCTACCTATTATAGTAGGGAAGACGCGCTCGTATTATAATTAGTCGATAGCCCTTAATTCTTATAGATATATATTACTTTACTCTATTATATATAAGGATAGCGCAGTTAGAGTTAGACATTGTATTAGAAGGTAAGGTTTAATATAGTTATATAATTAGGTAGTTAAGTGTTTAATTTAGCGCGGCTAAGTAGCTTATCGGATTTGCTAAGTTAGTAGTAATAGAGGTCGAGATTAGAATATAGAAAGGCTACGAGGGCGCGGCCTTTAGAAGGGAAGCGTATATTAGGGCTAAAGGGGCTATACGTAATTAGCATATAACTAGGCCGAGTAAAGCTAGGGTCTTAATGCCTTAGGTAGGGCTTAGCGCTTAGCGTTAGGCTAACTTGCCTGCTTTCCTCCCTCTTCTCCTAGATCCTTATCGAATACTACTTATACCTACTACTATCCTATCTACCTGCTAATATACCCTTCTTATAGTAATAGATACTGCCCTTTTTTCCGCGCGCTATAGATATAAGGATTTAATAGCAGGGGTGTTAATTCTAAGGCCGGGAAAAGAGAACGAGGCAGGCAATTCTATTCTTTTCGCTTTAGAGTAGGAGCTGCTATACAAAAGTCGATAGGAGGCAAGTCTCTTATTTTAACTAGGACGCCTTTTAGATACGAGTCGATAATTTAATAAGCTCTAGTTACTATATAGACGGTAGGGAACGATAGGAATAGATCCTATAAGCCTTTATAACTAGTAAGTAACCCGCTATATAGCTAAGTTTCGAGACTTAAGGGATCGAAGATAGAGTTAGTAGGTATAAATATTAGGTAGGCTATAGTAGGTTATATACTAGTCTATAGGCGAGGAGGAGGGCTAGGTAGGAGTTTATAGTAGGAATGTTATAATATAAGGTAAGTAAGTACGCTATAATCTCTAGAACTAGAATAGTAGGTAGCTTTTCTTCCGCCTATTAAAGAGTATTAAGTTATTTTTATTACGCTAAATTAAGATAGAAAAGGAATAAGTACTTATACTCGTATTTATATAAATAGTAGAAAATCATCTCGAGCTTGCTTCTCGCTTTAAGTTCTTACCGTTTTTTTAAGTGTCTATATAAACCTACTACTCGCTTTTCTAAAATAAATAGCCGAACGACGAGTTACGTTTAAGGACTAGATTGCTTTTAGAAAAGAAAAGTTACTAGTATTAAAATCGTAATAACCGTAAGTATCCTCTAGAGTAGTTACTAGACTTTTACTAACTTAGAGAAAGGCTTTCGAAAATAATTTAAACGACTCGTTTTACTAACGACTTATATAGCGTAGCGAGAAATATATAGACTTTGTTATTCGAATTGTAACGCGATAGTAATAAAGGGGGAGACGTCTAGGATATAAGATATCTAGATTAGTAAGATAGAAAGTAATACTAATAATACCTCGAATAAGTTACCTTACTATAAAGGCTAACTTTTAGGTTTATAAGTAATGGCCTAGGTTAGCTAGACTATTTCCTAGCTATCGGTATTAGACTACGCTATAATAGATAAACGGGAGATTATAAAATAATAAAACCCTATCTCCTATATACTACGCCTCTAAGGCCGAAAAGGAAAAAAAGGCGTACGTTTACTATCTTTATTAAGAGAAAGCGGAGCTTATACTCTCTAACTAGGACGATAGGTAATATAAGTTACTAGTAGTTAGGCCTCGACTATCTCTTCGAAAGAGGAGGGAGGAGACCCTAAGGACTATATACTACCGCGGCTACTACCTAAGACGTATAATTATACTATAGAAGAGATAGCGATACGATTTAATACCTATACGATATCTCTTTAATACTTCTATTCGTTTTATATTATCTTCCTACTAGAAAACTCTAATAGACCTAGCTTCTACTATACTCTAAGTCTTTTAATCCTAGTTCGATACCTAGCTTAGTTTCCTAAGCCTCTAGATAGGTTATAAGTCGTCCTATTATTAACTTATTATAGTATCGACGAAAACAATCGCTCTATCTTAGTAAAACTTAAATAGATATATACCTATCTATATATTCTTTCTCTAACTATAACTAGAAGGCAAATAAGTAATTTCCGTAGTATTTACCTTACTTATATATATACTCTAGATAAAAAAAAAAGAAACAGATAATTTTTTTTAGCTCGATCTAACGACTTAATATAAGATAATATATTCCTCCTACTATTACGAGACGAGTAATAAACGAACCTAACTAATTCCGTAGTTAGGATTAGGAAATCTACTTTAGAATTACGACCCGAAAAGTTTAGTACTTACTAAATAAAGTCTAAGTATATATCTTATAGCCTATAATACCTATCTACCTACCTACCTACCTACCTACCTACCTACCTACCTACCTACCTACCTACCTACCTACCTACCTACCTACCTACCTACCTACCCCGTCTAGTCTAGTCTAGTTTGCCGAAACAGCCTATATAAGGTAGATGTCCTTATTAGCAAGACAAAGTAAGATACAGTACTCTATACCTTACATTCACCCGCTCTTACGTAGAACTATTCCCCGAAGATCACACACGCGAGATCTGGATAAATATGCATGCATACCCGAACTTCTGCCTAAAAAGTAGGGTCTCCATCTCGAGTGCAATTACGGAGGTATACTGATGAGAAGAAGAAGAAAGATTTGTTGTTGGAATAGATTATATGTGGGAGTGGCAAGGCGAATTTTGGTATGGGATTGATTATTGAAGTGAGAACTTGGAAGTGATTATAATGGAAGTACTCCGTAGCTTCTTGCTGCTCCCTACTAGATTTGGGGGGGTTTTTTTTTTCTTCCACTGCGATCGATCAGGAGATTGAGCAGCGTCTCGTGTGGTTTCTTGACGTTGCGGAACCACCAAAGTCTCGATTCGTGACCGACTTGCAAGATCCCGATCAAGTCCACGGCGGTTGAACACCATGCATAAGGCGATGGTGGCGACCGGAGGGTTTTGGTGTGTCCCGGTGTGTGTATGTCTGGCCGCCCTTGATCTCATATCTGGATTGCATCACGGGTAGATGCTCATCGGCGTCTTGTACCGTATGGGCGGGCGACTTGGCGATCTCTCATCATCATCACAATCTGTCGCGCGATGGAGAGTCGCTTTTGGCCGTGCTTTGTCACGCCTTAGTTGGATATGGCGTATTTGGCATCCGGATGGAATTGATCAAACCGCGCTGTATGGCTGAGAAGATGCTTGACCAGAGCCGGGCGTCGTGGATCACAACGCAAATTCACTTGCGAGATCTTGTTTCCTGACTCCGCTGACGAAGATTGTGCTGGTTGTTGGTTGTCGAATTTGATACCGTTCTGGCGTCGCTTTGCTCACTCCTCTTCCAATTTCTGCAAGGTTGGACAGTTCCTCTCGAATTCAGCAAAGCTTCGACATGCCTTCAGTCTCCCGTCTTCGGAGAGAATCGATACGCGTCTGACGGGTAATATCGAGTCTCTGTCGTCGTGAGCCGCGTTGACTGGTACTGCGGAGCTAGTCTGCCTTCCAAAACCGGCATTGGCTTCAACTTCTGACAGACGCTGTCCACTGTCCGATGTCGCACGGGGCAGGTCCATGTCTGCAGTGCTGTCACGGCTTCGACTGAACAATTCCATCTTTCCAGGCAGCATCTCAGGCTCGTTCCAGATCGTGAAGGTGTCCAGGCCTCCGACTTGCTCTTTAGTGATGGCAGGTCCGAAGATGAGCGTTCGACGACTCACGGTATAGAGCAGCACGTCGATCCAGCCGTTTGAAGCCAGCAGGAATCCGGCAACGGTCAGCTCAGCGTACCCAACGTCTCCTCCAGCCATTATCTTCAGTCGCGCAATGACGGCAGGTAAAGTGCATGCGACGTATGCAATGGGGTACATGATGATGCTTCGGGCGGCTGATTCTGCTCGCATTCGCGTGTCCGGGGTCGAGTAGAAGAATGACCTGACTCTGCGCCAGAGAATAGCAAACATGAGGGTGTAAACGATGATTACAGTGGCTTGAGTCAGGATGAGCCAGATGTAGTGGATCCAAAGTCGGTCCATGAGGTATTTCTCGTTGATCCAGCACCAGACTCCTGCTCTCATGTAGAAATCCCGAGGGTGGATGACGACTCCAATGGTGGAAAGGAAATAGGCGAAGGTCCAGAGGCTGACGATCATGAACAGGAATGGGGCATAGGACAATCGCTTGTCGAAGACCACATCGGCGAATAGATGGACCGCCAGTGCGAGTGTGAAGAGAGCGATGCCCACATCGCCAGCGTTCAGAAGCCAGCCCTGCGCCCAGCAGGTCGGAGTCTGAGCAAAGATGCCATCTTTTCGCAGCCACTGAGTGCCGAGACTGAATCCGACGGCTTGCTGTACATCGGACAGCACGAGATTGAGGAGCAGTGCCACGTATTGGTTGATGCGAGCATATGAGCGATGCTTCCAGGTGAGGACTCTGTAGCCCAGATATGCAAGAAGGCCAGATGACGAGACGGCGGAGACGATGGCTGCAGCGGAAATTGCTACGATTCCAGCGCGAACATCGTCTGGTAACGGCGACTGTGTATCCGCTGATCCAGGGCGCAGCATCTTGAACGTGAGCACATGCTCGTCGAGACTCGGGGACTGCATATGTGTGAGATGTAGGCGCTGGAGACCAGCGCAGAGGAGCCGTCACGCTCTCGCTTCCACTGCAGCTCGGGTCGGGAAGTCAGCCCAGAGTGTACGTGCCAGCGAGGTTGCTATCCCAGAGGAGGCTTGGTGAGAGGAGCACGAATGCGAAGTGCAGCTACATGCTTAAGTCGCGAGCGTTCTGGTTGGTTGTGTTCCGCGGTCTGCGTGATGTTTGCCCCCAAGTAGTTGTGAAACGCCAGGATGGGCTGGCTTCAGTGGCATGACGAGCCCTTTATACCGATGATTTCTCGAAGCTTACGAAGATGAACCTTGTTCTGCATTGGCTCTGCATTTGACATGAGGGACATGGACATCATGCGGCCCGCGAGCGATGTCCAGGAGCCGCAGCCTTGTCATGACCAGGAACCATGACCCGACGCAAGCGCTCGTATTCGGCTGCTGCTTGGTCTGCGGTACCGGGTGGTGATGAGTGGAAGTCCATTGTGATTGCGCATGGCGAATGGAAAGGGGGCATGTGATCGAAGCAGATGAAGAGTGAAGACGAGACAAGACAGACGGGAATAACGAGAAATCGCCTAGCCAACGCAGCAGCTGGGCCATTTTGAGATGTAGACTTCACTCCCAACATTGCACAAAGGGTGTGGGAGGCAGGCTTTCATACTATGCCCATCACGGCATCACCACATCCAATAACGACCCTGTGTCTTATCCGCCGGTGACCGGAGGCTCGGGCACTGAAGACTGTGTGTGCAGGGACTCCATGAGCATCATCATCAACAGGAACAACATTGCGAGGGAATGGCACACAGCCAAGTAACAGACATCAAGATGGCGACTGGAAAACAAAGACTTCTTGTCACAATGGAAACTGAGATCGCGTCGCAGTGCTGCGTCTTGTCCCTAATAAGAAGACCATATTGAGGCATCGATGTACCTTTGTACTCAGGTAAAGTTTTACGGCACTTCCCCGACTACCTCGTCTCGAATGTTATTACTCGCCTCGGCGTAATATAAGGGACCGAATTGAAATTTTATCTTTCGAATAGGTTGGCGGCTCGCTTTAGCTGAGGAGCACTCTACCAAAACACCTCTCCCCTTACGAGCGGGAGGGAGGGTTGGGGGCCACACCGATGTGCCCTCTATAAGGAGGTCGGGGACTGACAAGAGTCCTACGTTTACAGCCTTACTCTCGGTGAGTTAGGAGATGACCTGCATAGGACGAGAGCGAACAATGTATCAGCCTTGGAATTTCAATTTACTACTCGCTTGCCTCATCGAGACACAGTTAGCCCCCGAGCCTCCGAACAGGGAAGGAGGAAAAACTTCCAGATCTCCAAAGCCGAAGCCAAAGCCTATTCTAGTATACATACACATAAAAACCTTCCCGAAGCAGAACCTCGCCGACGAAAAATCATCAGGACCATCGAAATCCCTGTGTTCAGTTTCACGCATGCCACTCTTCTATAGAATGTCTAGAAAATGCCCACGACAGCCTTGCGAAGAACACGGCTCGCACGGCAAAGAGAGCAACTCGGCAATAATATCAAGCAGGGAGAGGGACCCGATATTGCGGAGCGGGCCCGAGGAGCAGGCACCGCAATGCGAGGGAAACCATCATCAGGTCCAGACTCTAGAATTTGCAGGGCCAGGGATGTGATCAAATCGACCAGGCCACAACATTATTGCACCAAAACAGTGAAAATGATGAGAGATACGGTGGACGAGGGATAGAGATGATCCTTGTTTTGACTCCATAATGTATCTGAATGTCGTGATGATTGCTCGCTAGGTAATGTAACGGAAGTCAGGATGTTGATGTCCCAAATCCTCGATCTCTTCCTCACTCAGGCCGTTTAAACGATAGCTTCGACCGCCTTGCGAACGTAATCTGTTCTCGTAGAGACAGTAGAGAATTCCTCCGATGGCGAGAAGGAGGACGACGAGTTGGGCGGATAGATTTATCGTGTGGCCGATGTGATACGTGGGAGCGTCGCTTGCAAGATATGTCCATGTGGCGACGATACCTCCAAGAGTTCCGAGGGTGACGATCCAGCCGCTGGCTACTGCTCGCACCGGTGGACCGGCGCAGTTGTTGAGGCCCCAGGAAAGGAAGCCAGGTCCACCGGGGAAGGCACCCAGAGCGCAGAGATAGACGGCGGCGTAGCGGACGTTGGCGTCGTTGTTCCAGCGCAGGAGAGCGAAGCCCGTAATGCCGAGGAATGTGAAGCAGGCCAGGCACAGTCCTCGTTGCTTGATCTTGTCGCTGATGAAAGCGATCAGGATGGCGATGGCAGATGCCGACACGTAGACTGGAACGCTGTACAGCTGTGCCCTGGTCGCCGTCCAGCCCAGATCGCGCAGCACCGTCGGCATGAACACGCTCAGCCCCTGTACCGTGATATTAATGCAGAAGAAGCCAGCAGCGCAGATGTAGTTGTTGATGTTGAAAAGCGCACGTTTGATATGGTGCGGCTTCACATGACCTTCCGCACCCGCTTTGTACTCGACACGAAGCCTCTGCACGGCGATGAATTTCTCTCGCTCCGTCAAAACCCGTGACGTCCCTGGACTTTGCGGCAACATTAACGGAGCCAGGGCGCCAATCAACATCGTGACCAAACCTTCGAAGAAGAAAATATTGCGCCACGTGTGAATCGGCGCCGAGGCTGCTCCCCATTCGGGAATTCTGGCGAGTCCGGCGGCCAGCAAGCCGCCAAAGGCACCGGCCATCGATGCGGCCGAGACGTAGATGCCGACGCGGAAGTAGAGTTCTTTCCGCTTGTAGAAGCTGGAGAGGAAGAAGGCGATGCCCGGCATCACGCCTCCCTCGAAGACCCCGAGAAATGCACGTGCGGCGCACAGCTGGCTGAAGCTGTTCACCCATGCCGTGCACATGCTCACGAGCCCGAAGCCCATCACCTGCAAGGTTGTATACACGTCAGTCAAGCCTCAGGAGCACGGTGGAATTCAATCGGAGCAGCGGCTGACCAGAGCGGGAATGTAAAAGCGCGGCCCAACTCGCTTGAGGATGATGTTGCTTGGGACCTCGACGAAGCAGTACACGATGTAGAAGACCGACAGGGCCCAATTGAAACGCACCCCAACCAGGTTGAGGTCCTCTCCCATGCCCTGTCCACACAGATCTGTCAGCGAGCTAAATCATAATAATGAGGACCCTTGATGATGGGTGTGGTCTGACCTGAATTCGAGCATTGCCAATATTGGCTCTGTCGAGGAAACAAAGCAGGTATAGCAGTGTGACCAAAGGCACGATCTGCCAATCTAGTTTGTGTCGCACGCGCGCTTCTTCTTCTTCTGTCCATGTGATGTTTGCTTCCGAGTACGGATCTCCTTTGTCCGCCTCATGGATGTGTAGCGTGTCCACTTTCTTCTCTTCTGCTGCCATGATGATATGGAAGAAGGAAAGAAATTGGCGAAAGTGTTGCACTCTGCTGAGGAGGAGTCCAACAAACAACAAAATCTGGGGAAAAGAAACACATCCTTGGATCTCAGCTCCGCATTATTTAAAGGGCTACTACACTAGTTATCCTCTTCGCGAAGCGTTTCTGCTTGTGCGACCCGAGGCAAGGGCATATTCTACTTAGGCGATCCTATCCTGTACAGTACGGCAATCAATTTCTTCGCTGCACACCCACCTCGTTCGACGGCGCCGAGAAGATGCCAAGTTGTGCAAATGGAGGACCACGTGTGTTGGTGCACGACAGCGAGACAAGATCGTGCAGTAGTGTGCCTGCCAATGCTCGGCATGCGGAGAGTTCTCCAGTGTTTCGGCGCTCGCTTCAGCATCCCGGCTGTTGTGGATGGGCATGCGTTTGTCTGGAGCGAGGGAAGAGGTTGCAATGCACGATGGGTTCCGAGTTGTGTGGAGTTTGAGAGTGTCTGCTGGTGGCTCGAGTGATGGCTTCATCTCAGGCTTTCGTCCTGTCGACCTTGAGCATCGAGTTGCGACAAGGCCGTTGACCCCCACTGGAATTGACAGTGACATCGTTCTTGCAGCGGGTGCAGACTTGCAGAAATCAACCAGTGCGCAGGCCTCGTTTTCCAGCATATCAAGTATCGAAACGACCGAGCGACTTCAGTCTGTACGGTATCAACTTGTCTGAGTATGGCGAAAGGATGTACTACTCACCTCTCGACACAAATACCGGCACGCTCTGAGCAATCCGTACTGCAAGCCTTGCATCCAGCACTCTCAAGACGTCTCGGCGGAAATATACGCACACGCGAACGTCTCTATCCACGAAGGACGTGGTGGCAATGCTAACGCTTTCGAGGGCGGATTCATCCATATGCTGCTGCCCGAGCAGAAGGCCTTTGATCCCACTGATGGGTTGACGAACACGGATTCTGTGGCCCTATGGTGGAAGCATTGGCACTGATGGCTACCTCTACTGGAACATCAGCCAGGTATGATATGTGTATGTGAATGTCAATGCTTGAAACACACACTTATTATCGCTGGTGTAGCTCTTTTCCCAACCCTGACCTTCGAAAATATGCAGACACCCCGGAGTAATCTAATCTTGAGGGCAAAGCTACCGAATGCTGGCGAGAATGTGACCAAGTTTGCGACTACCTTATTGGATCGAGAGTGTAGAAAAAGCACATGAATACGTCGATAGAATATATAATGGAACAAGTCGTACACTCTCCATTAGCCTCATGAATCCGTCCGTCCGTCCTTGGATCTTCTTTGTCGTCACGTGCCACTGCGAGCACTGTATCCTATCATCGACCCTGCTTGCTCAACCAAACTCTAAACCACTGCCACATCTTACAGCAACTCACTCACAAGGCAACAGCATATTTACGACATCCTTGTACATCGTGGCTGAACACGCACAGTCAGCTGAAGCGGAAGCGCTCGCGAACCCATCCACCTCCCTGACCAGCGACCTCTCCACATCTCCCTCGACGACTCGCGCGCGCGCATTCAGTATGGACAAGTTCAAGGCATTCACATCGAGCATTGGCAGCACCGTCACTCCCTTCGCCACTCGCAGCCAGCAGTGGATCAAGGAGCAGACGGGGAATGCGGGCGAGAAGACAGAGCTTCCACACGACTATGTCGAGCTGGAAGTCAGGATCGATGCCCTGAAGCAGACACACCAGAAGCTCCTTGCTGCCACCAGCCAGTATGCGAACGAGGCATACGACTATCCGCCGAATGTCAGGGAGAGCTTCCAGGATCTGGGCAAGAGCATCAGCGAGAAGGTGAGATACCATTATGCAATGGCATACTTGCAGAGCCATTATGCTCATACCCGTCACACAGGTGGGCCTCCTCTCGAAAGCAGCCAGCGCATCCGAAGCACAAGCAGCTCTGACTGCACCACCATCCGCCAAGCCACAGCCCAAAACATTCAGCCATGCCATTGCTCGCGCTGCCCTCGCCGGTTCGCAGACTATCTCAACTGCCACTCCTCAAGGTTCTACCGAACCAGACCCACTTGCGCAAGGCCTCGAGAAGCTTGCGCTGGCCGAGGAGAAGGTGGGCGAGGCTCGTCTCGACCAAGATGAGAAGATCCAGGGCAAGTTCCTTGCTGGCTGGAGCACCACTCTACAACAGTCCATCAAGGCTGCCGATAAGGCTCGCACCGCTGTGCAGAATGCGCGCTTGAATCTGGACGCAGTCAAGAGCAAGGCAAGCGCTGGCGGCAGGCATGAGGAGAGCTTCACCGAGCAGCAGCGACGTGCTATCGAGAGTGCTGAGGACCAATTCGTGGAGAAGGTTGACGAGGCTACCTCGATCATGCGAAATGTCCTCGACACCCCCGAGCCACTTCGAAATCTGCTTGAGCTCGCCAAGGCCCAGGCTGAATACCACCAACGCGCCGCTGACATTATGGACGCTACTGTCAACGAACTATCCGAGCTCCAAATGGCCCAGGAGACCGAATACAGGAAGGCACGTGAGGGCGCTTGAAATGACTAACTTGGCTGACGAAGGAACGAATGTTGACTGCGAAGTAGCGGCTGATCAACAACAACGCGACGGACTACGAGACGGCTCCCTAAATGACGAGGGTGTAAGTAGCACTCTCTCTGAAGGCTGGTGCTACAGGCGTGCTGGAGTCTTGGCAGGATGATCAAGAGTTTGGCATCAGGTCGCTTTGACATTCTACAGTATGAGCGGAATTGCATAGCCATAGCTCATACCCATTCCCATCCGACGGGTTCGTATCAACATACCACCACCATCTCATCTACCGTCAAACATCATCCCCCTTCGCCCTAGCAGCAATATCCACCTCCTCATGCGGATCGACATTATGTCCACTCCCCCCATCCCTAACAACATTCTTCCCATTCCTCTCATTCCACTCCTGTATCGCTATCCAAGCCACCCTAAACCCTTCAATCCCCGCCGGCATCCCAGAATAACACGCCGCCTGTAAAATCACCTCACGAATCTCCTCTTCCGTCGCACCATTCGTCAACGCCCCTTTAACATGCGTCGCTAACTCCGACCCTCGGTTCTGGTTACACAGCATCGCGATGTTGAGGAAAGATCGTGTTTTCTTTTCCAGCCCCGGACGCGTCCAGATGCTGCCCCAGCAGGATTCGGATACGTACTCTTGCATGGCTCGTGAGAAGGGGTTGTCGCCGTTTTTCAGGGCGGCGTCCACGTATTCTTTTCCTACGACTGAGTAGCGCATGCGGAGGCCTTCGTCGTACAGGATTTTGTGGGCTTGGGCGATTTCTTGGGGGGTGTGGGTGGGTGGCATTTTTTTGGATTTTTGAGGGTTGTTTTGAAAGGGGTGGGTGGGTTGAGGGAGAGATGGCTTGGGTGGGGAACTTGGAAAGGGGGATGATTGGGGGTTTTGGGAGGTACGTGAATAGGAATAAGATATTGATTTTGCCTGTCTCGTTATGTCGCAGCTAGGTCCGTATAGCTATGGAGGCCGAAGTCGGAACAAGCTTCTCAAGCTTGCGGAGAAGCTCGACTTTCACAAACTTCGTCATCAAAACATAAACAGCATCTTCTACCAAAGCAGACGCGGGGCAAGATGCAGTTCGGCAGTATGGTGTTAGTGGGGAAGTGGGCGGCCACCACGCCAGGATAAAAGTAGAACGATGGAGTGTTCATTCACTTACCAATGCTGCTAGCCATCAAGGTAGGCAGAAACCACAACGCACGGACCAATCCCCTCGAATCAACATGCCTTCACCACTACCACCACCCAGACCCGACCAAGCATATGTCACCGTCTCCCCAATCCCAGGCGGCTTCATCACCCTCAGCGACACCTTCTTCGTCAAACCCGCCGACCCCACCGCCAAACGCACCGTCCCCTCCCTAACATTCCTCATCCAACACCCCAACCCACCCCCCTCATCCGGCTACACCTCCCACCCCAACAAACCCTTCCGCTTGATGTTCGATCTCGGCCTGCGAAAATCCCAATCCCGATACCCCCTTCCTCTCCAAAAACACATCGACTCCCGCGCCCCTTTCCTCCTCGAACCCGGCGTCGCCCAACAACTCCAAGACGCTGGCCTCTCCCCTTCAGCCATCAACCTCGTCATCTTATCTCACGTCCATTACGACCACCACGGCGACCCCGAAGATTTCCCCCAAGCACACTTCCTCCTCGGCCACGGCGCCCTCCACGTCCTCAAATACGGTCTCGGCGGTACGGCTTCCCACCAACATTTCGACCCCAATACCTTCCCCCCCGATCGAACTTCCGAACTCCCGGACCCGAAAACTTGGCACGAATCTCTCGGTCCGTTTCCTCACGTGTACGATTTATTCCACGACTCTTCCGTGTATGTCATCGACACACCGGGGCATTTGCCCGGACATTTGAATCTTTTGTGTCGCACGCAAGAGCGGTGGGTTTTGCTTTGTGGGGATGCGTTTCATGATCGTAGGCTTTTGACGGGGGAGAGGGAAATTGGGACTTGGGTGGTGGAGGTTGAGGGGCGGAGGACGGTTTGTTGTATTCATGTTGATGAGGAGGAGGCGAGGGAGAGTATTAGGAGATTGAGGGAGTTGGAGAGCGGGACGGGAGGGGAGTGTGAGTTGATTGCTGCGCATGAGGTAAGTGGGAAGGAAATTTTGGGCGGATGTATTGATGGTGTTTGAGAATCATTGCTAACTTTGAGGTTTATGATAGGAGGATTGGTGGGAGAGGCATAAAGATCAAGTGTTTCCTGGGACGATTTAGGTGGATGGTGTTTTGAATGAGTGAATTTTGGGGTGGAAGTCAAGTTTTTTGAAGAAGACGGACGGAGGCCCGGAAATTTTGTGTTCAATAATGGCTGTGCCTAGAGATCTTTTGCCTACCTTGACATACATGCTTCCTGATATATGGCATGAAAAGCTGAATTCCTTCAATTGTATACGCGCAAGGAGGCTGAAGGAACACGGTGTTATGCAAGCTAAAACGGCAGACCTGAACGGGTATCCGTGGCTTCCGGCCTACCCTGCATGAGACTGTATGCCGTCTTCACACTCCGACAGCTGAAGCCTGAACCTGTGCCACTTCAGGCCGTAAGTATAAGAACGCGAGCTGCAGCGAGACGAATATCTTGGCTTTGCTAATCACGAAAGTTTTCTTGTTAGCTTGCGAGGGATCGATTATTTCAACCATCTCAAGAAACCCAAACTTTCAACTCTCCACATTTCCACCTCATCCATCCATCAAAAAAAAAAATGTCCAAACTCATCTCTATCAAACCCTACCCCAAGGGTTCCGCCGAATTCGAATCCGAACGCAAGAAAATCGTCGACGACGTCTTGAAAAAATTGCCCCAAGATCTCATTCTGCCCGACGAAATTTTCGAAAACCCTCCTCAGAATGTTATAAACTTCCCGCGCGAGAGTGGACTCCTGACCAAAGAGGAACTGGAAATAACCGAGAATTATGACCTCGTGGGTTTGGCTGAAGCGATCGCGTCGAGGAGGTTATCTTCGGTAGCGGTGACGAGGGCGTTTTGTCGGAGGGCGGCGATTGCGCATCAGGCAAGTCCAGAAAAGAATTCAATTCGCGAAATCATTTTGGGTCCTATCGTAAGTACTAACGTGGATTTGTGTAGCTCACATTCTGCCTCACAGAATTCTACATGTCCGAAGCCCTCTCGCAAGCCGAGCACCTCGACCTCCACCTCGCCACAACGGGAAAACCCCTCGGCCCTCTCCACGGCATCCCCATCTCCATCAAAGAAATGATCCCCGTCAAAAACCAACTCTCGTCCCTAGGCCTCAAAGTCACGCGACAAGTCAACACGGAAGATTGTGTCACGACGCAGATTTTGAGGGAATTAGGGGCGGTGTTTTACGTCAAAACTCATCAGCCCGCCGCGGTGTTGAGTGCCGAGTCTACATCCTTCTTAGGCCGGACGTTGAATCCGCATAATTTGAATCTCGCGCCGGGAGGGAGTTCCGGGGGAGAAGGGGCTTTGTTGGCGATGAGGGGGAGTGTGTTTGGGTTTGGAACGGATATTGGGGGAAGTGTTCGAATCCCGGCATCTTTTTGTGGGGTGTATGGATTCAAAGGTTCTGATGGGTTTGTGCCGACTGAGAAGTTGTTATCCGGGCCTTTTCCTGCTGGGATGTTTGTTCCCGGGGTGGTGGGGCCGCTGGGACGGAGTTTGAGGGATGTGGATTTTGTTATGAGATGTGTGAGGGAGGTGAGGCCTTGGTTGAGGGATCAGGAGGTTTTGCCGACGGTGTATAGGGGTTTGAAGGGGGTTGAAGGGTTGAGGAAGGAGACAATGAAGGTTGGACTTTTGCAGGATTATGGTGCTGTGCAGCCTCAGCCGCCGGTTCGTGAAGCGATGGAGTGGGTTCATAAGCAACTTACGAGCAATCGGTTCAAGGTCTTGTCATACACGTTCCCGGAGCCTCAGAAGGCACACAAGCTATACTCCGAACTGCTATCCACAGACGGTTGGACTGCGATTCGCGGCGCCCTCCAAGCTGGCAAGGAACCGACATTCCCAGTCTTCGAAGAAGTCATCAAACAGCTCATCGCCGAAAGTCCAGGCGCAGCCGAAGGCAAAGAAAGTTCGGCCTCACGCATCGCCGACCTCAAATGGCAGCGAGATGTTTTGCGAGCCGAATTTCTCGCCGACTGGATTGCACAAGGGGATCCAGATATTGTCATCGCTCCGATGAGTCCCGCTGCGCCTCATGATACGGCAGATTTGGTGAGGAGTGTCAGTGGGACGCATTATTGGAATTTGGTGGATTATCCGGCTTTCGTGGTGCCTACTCCGTTCCATGTAATGTCCAAGGCTTCGTATAATTCGGAGGAGTATGAAGATGTCAGGCCTCGCTCGAAAGAGGATATTGATACTAAGGAGATCTGGAGGAAGCATGATATGGAGGGTGCTCCGATTTGTTTGCAGATTATTGCGAAGCGACGCATGGAGAGCGAGCTTATTGCGGCGGTGGGTCTGATTCAGCAGGCGCTATGCTTGCCGTGAGTAGTTTTACGGAGCTCAAGTTGTTGTTTTCGAATCGCGGGTATCTATTGAGTGTCGAAATTTTCAATCATCTCGCCTAGACGAGAGGATGCTTTTTATGCCAAAGATGACATAAGGAGCTTTGTCCCAAGGCAAAGAAGGAGTTAGTGTCGGTTAGCTTAGCTGGAATCCACCTGTAGTCATCTCGCCGAGACGATCGGATGTTACTTATGCTAAAAGTGACATGAGGAGCCCTATCTCGAGGCAAAGAAGGAGTTAGTAGTAGTTAGCTTAGCTAGAATCTACCTCGAGCTATCTCGCCGGGACGATCGGATGCTACTTATACTAAAAGCAACGTAAGGAGCTTTATCTTAAGGCAGAGAAGGAGTTAGTATAGGTTAGCTTAGTAGTAATCTATATCGAGCTATCTCGCCGTAGGATAGAGGCGTATTCCGTACTAGATCGGACGTAAAGATCTCTATATTTATATTATACTAGAGGCTAATTATCCTTTAGGGAGTTAGTATTAGTTAGTTTAGCTATAATCTACTTCGAGCTATCTCGCTATAAGATAGAGGCGTATACTATCGTACGAGATCTAATATAAAGAGCTCTATATATATATTATACCGAAGGCGAACTAAGTAGGTAGTATTAGTTTAATTACTTAGCTAGAATTTACCTCTAGCTATCTCGCCGTAAGGTAGAGAGATATATTATACTAGATCGGATATAAAGAGCTCTATATTTATATTATATCGGAGACGAATTAGGGAGTTAGTATTAATTAGCTAGAATTTACTTTAGGCTATCTCGCTATAAGTTAAAGGCGTATCTCGAACCGGATTTAGCGTAAAGAGCTCTATACCTATACTATAACGGAAGCGAAGGAGCTTTGTCCTAGGGTAGGGGAAGCATTAGTATCGGCTAGCTAGAATTTACCTCGAGTTGTCTCGCCGTAAGATAGAGGCGTATCTTATACCGGATCGGACGTAAAGAGCTTTATATTTATATTATAACGGAAGCGAAGGAGCTTTGTCCTAGGGTAGGGGAAGCATTAGTATCGGCTAGCTAGAATTTACCTCGAGTTGTCTCGCCGCAAGATAGAGGCGTATCTTATACTAGATCGGACGTAAAGAGCTTTGTATCTATATTGTAATAGAAGCAAAGGAGCTTTGTCCTAGGGTAGGGGAAGTATTAGTATCGGTTAGCTAGAATTTACCTCGAGTTATCTCGCTATAGGATATAGGCGTATCTCGTACCGGATCGGACGCAAAGAGCTCCACATCCACATTGCACCGGAGGCGGATAAGACAAGCAGAGCTTTGAGTGCTTACAAGACTGTGGTTGTAAGGGAATGGGAATCAGTATGCGTTTTCATATCTTCTATTGCTTTATAATATTTTGCAAATAAGTCCTAGAGCGCTTCGCTTAATGTAAAGATACTCCTGCTCCCTCCCTCCCCCCAAAGAAACATCCCGCCCCTCTATCGCCTAACTGACTCCAGTCCCTCGAATCCTCCCTCGCAACCCACTCCTTAGCCCTTCATCCGCATCCCTCATCTCTACAACTCTCTTCCACTCCGGGTCCTCCCTCCGACCAGGCCTATTCTTCCTCGCATACCAGATTTGCTGCAGTCGATCAGCGAGGACTTGCTGACTGATCTTCGCGTCGGGGAACTTGTTGACGAAGAGCATCTTAAGAACCCTAGCACATTTCTGGTTCCCGTCGTGATGCCCATTGAAATTGAACTCACTACCGACACGCTTCATCTCGTGTAGGCAAGTCTTGACCTCGAAATCGATGGTCCCATTAGCAAGTCTCGGAGTCAAGTTCGAGGCCAAGCGGGCTTTGGACTTGATTCGCTTGGCAGGGCCACGATAGTGAGTTGCTTGTTGAGGTGCCACGGGAGGAAGAGTTTGCGGGGCGGGATTTGCAGTGCGAACAGCCTGAGTCGGGACACGTCGCTGGAAGGGTCCTGGGATAGTAAATGGTATAGGCCCAGCATATGGAGGAATGGCAACTCGGAATGTGTTTTGAGTCGGGAAGGTCTGGGCTGCAATCGGGACGAATCGTGGCAGAGGTTGTTGGCCTGCGGGCCCGGGCGCTGGTTGGCATGGTGGGACTGGGGGGATGTAGGCAGGCTGACGTATCGGTAGAGGACGAAAGGTGAATGGAGAGGCTGCCGCAGGGCCATTTCCTAGGCTTGACGGCTGCGGATCACCCTCTGCATTATCTTCTTCGGCCTCTTCTTGCACATCCTTCTGCTCTGCTTGTCCAGTTTCTGCCGACTCTTCGACGCCAAGATCGATCGCGTCTTGGTTGATTGACTGGATTAGCTCCCTCAGGGCGATATCATCTTCCCCATGAACGTCGAGTTGAACATCGCTTGGATTCTCTTCGATTGTGGGACGATCCCGTCTCTCTTTCCAATCCTCATAGGCCTGGAAACCGCCATCTTCCTCGTCGTCCTCTGAGTATCCATCGCTGTCGTAATGCCCCTGGTACTCCTCAAGCCCATTGTCATGATCTTCGGTCTCCTCGTAGCCAATGTCTTCCCCTTCGTACCCCTCAAAGCCAACATCCTCTCCTCCTGGCTGAGGTCCGTTTTCATAGCCTAAAGCCATAGCATCTTGCTCGAACTCTTTCATAAGTTCGTCAAGGTTTTGGTGCTCGGAGAACTGCTTGCCAACGGCGGAGTCGTTGCGAGCGATGGCCATCTTGGAATAATAGTGCGTTGTCGGTCTGGAAAGTTGATCTCGTGCGTGCGATATCGATATACGTCGGCGCTTTTATGCAAGATATATGGTTAACCTTGGATGATATAGCGATCCGCAAAGTCTTGCGATTGTAGTAGATGTCGTTGGTACTTGGTTGAGGTTGCGAAATGTGCTGTTGTTGGTGTTGGTGTGTCGATGTTGATGATCGAATGGAAGTTGAATAGCAAAGACGCCGATTGTTTTATGGCATCCTACCGCCAAACCTCACCTGTAGCATGTGCTAAAACTGATTGTTCAGTTTCTGCTCATTCACTGACCGGTGAGCGTTTGTCACAAGCAGTAATTCACTCATATGCAGTCTTGTGAATGGCATTGGGCTGAGACTAAGCAACAGCCTCCATTTTCACGTTGCCCATGATGCTCAAGAGGCAAGCTCGGGACGAGACCGCTGGGAGAGATTTGAAAGGCCAGAGAGTCCCCACTGCTCCGTTCTATAGGGAGCTTGCCAATCCATTTTCTTGCCCGGGACCAATCTCACTGACTTACTTCCATATAGCAGAGGCGGCCATGCCCTTGGTAGCGAAGGCCTCATTAGCACGATTGAAGTATTGCTGTGAGGGCAGGTAGGTGACTAACCAACTCTCACTCGGATATGATTTCCGTTTCTTGATTCCATAGGGAGGAACCTTATAGTGGTTTCCCGTTTCATGCCGTAGATATTGTCGCTTGGCTGAGCGAGCGGCGACTTGCCCTAGAAGTGTGTTGGTTGTATGAAAAGCTGCGAGAGCGGGAAGAGATCTTTTCTATAATCGAGCGGCCAGAGTTCGAACGTGTGTTCAGTCAGCGTGCCTAAGAATTGGGATGGTGGAGATGCCACTGGGGAGAGAAGCTGAAGTCCCTATGCCAGTTTCGTTCCATGGTGTGACAAGTATATTAGGCCCAGTGGTTTGCTGGCAGCTTTGTTCGGCTTTATTGTGATGGAGAGAGAGGATTCAAAGCGAGTTCGCGTGGTTTCATCAGACTGTTGTTCTCCATGACATTGGCCACATAGACATCCAGGTCTACTCACAAACAACACAAACTTTGGTGACACGATCAGCGCTCACTCCAGAGCTTCGCCTTAAACGCCTGAATCTTCTCATATAAACCTGCAGACTGTCACGGAGCCGCGTGCCGGATGAGGTAGATGGTCATTCCTGGGTCTCTGCAATGAGGGAATGTCGACTGACAGAAGGCTTTGTGCTCCGTTGTCGTGATATACGACCGGCCCCATGAATGTACCCATGAATGTACCCATGAATGTACCCATGAATGTACCCATGAATGTATAGGCCTAACAAGGCAATTCTACCACAGATAGTCTTGTCGTGTCCAATGTAGAATGTCTAAGTCCAGAGTGTTGAAGCAAGAGTTCTCCTGGCCTACTAGGTAAGCGAAGTTATGTAAGCGCGTTGCGTAACTCTCAGCACTGCATAGGCATATTCCATACCGCAGGACATTAAACACAACGCACAATCTTACGGAGATGCTGGGATGCCATGAAAAGCTCAAGCTGTGTTCGAGAGAATTCAGAAGCTGGGTTCGTCTAGACGCTATGCTGGGCTCTTCCAAGACGGCTATGATCCTACACTATCATACGCCTTACCGCCTGCGGCCTTGTCGACATGTATACAATCCTGCAGTCCGCATAAGTTGAACGCTGTCTTGACGCCTGCTGAGCTGAAATCGGGCGATGGAGCTCCATGCTGTTTCAAATACTGGAGTTCTGCAGTCACACTTTTGATGACTGGCTCGATACAAGCAGCTGGAAAGATTACCACTCTGAATCCGATCTCCTTGGCTTCCGCGACGGTCATATTAGGGGTGACTCCGCCCGGCACCATGTTCAAGAGCACAGGCGTGCTTGCAAAGATCTCGCAGACTTTGCGTGCTTCCTCTTTCGAGGCGATTGCTTCGAAAAAGACAATGTCTACGCCAATTCTGACGGCCTCCTGCAACCTCTCGACGGCTTCGTCGAATCCATACGTCTGGCGGGCGTCGGTTCTGGCGATGATCATCATTTCGGACTGAAGCTGATTCCGAGCGGTCACAGCAGCCCGGAGGCGACTGTAATACACGTCTCGCTCCACGATCACTTTGCCCAGGAGATGCCCGCATCTTTTCTCTTGTGCCTGGTCTTCGATGTGCAAAGCAGCTACTCCTGCCCTGGCATACTGTGCAACAGTTCTCGAGACCATTATCGGCCCTCCGTAGCCCGTGTCCGCGTCTGCTATCAAAGGTACCCCAGGACTCAGTGATGCGATCATCTCAGCATTACTTCGCATGTCGACTTGAGTCGCGATTCCTAGGTCTGCCCAACCAAGCTTTGACATCGAGGTTCCTGCACCAGTCTGGGGGAGGCAGTCAGCAAGAGCAAACCTCTACTGTCGTGAGGCTTACCATGTATATTGCATCAAAACCAGCAGCAAGAGCCAGGCGAGCCGTCAATCCATCGAAGACGCCAGGACAAACAATGACTTTGTCTGGGTCCGCGAGCATTTCTCTCAGGCGATAAGCCCCTGTGAGCGGTGCTAATGCCATGTCTGTAGATTGGTATTGGATTGACTTCTTGAATTCTGAGTCTCCTTTGGCCACAATTGCAAACAGCATTTCAGGATAAATATATCTCACACTGCGCGAAACATACGCTGACATGCGGCATGGCTGAAGCCGAACTCGGCCTGTCGCGGCGATAGGCTTGGACTTTATGCGCACTCGCTATGATATGCCGACAGAGAGCGTAATCGGCAGCTACATCATTGGCTGACTTTGTGGAGCGGAGAGACGTACAGCTGCTCAGTCTGGATTAGGATCAACACTCAGCAAGATACTGATGAGCTATAATCTTGCAATACTTATATAACCACTGACTGCACCATTATGATAAGTACGGGACAGATACCTGGAAATTGTCTAAGCCTCAACGACAGCACCTTGAAATAGTTTCTCAATAAGACGATGGCAGAAACCGACATCACGCTCAGTGCTAGCAAAGCAGCTGCTGCATATGCTGCGGAACTTCCTACGCTCTCTCAACGCCTGGAAGAAGCCCTCCAAAACAACTGCTTTGATAGTGCCTCGAAGCAGGACTCCATACACCAGGTCCTCCAAGCGACTGCCGAGCGACTGCGCAGCTCCAAGAATGACTCGCTTGCCCAGGCTCTCGAAGACACGCTTACAAAACTGTCGGACCAACCTTCCTTCGGCGGCTTAGGTGTCCAAGACCACGATGATGTGCCTGTCACGGTGTACAACGAGATCATACATTGGACGACAGCCTACTTGCAAAGCGTCGAATCGAAGCAGAATGCGCGAGACTTCATGAGCACAACCCGTGCCCATGCCGCAAGACCTACCCGGCCAATGACTCTCGCCCAGAAGATCTTCACCCAGCATGCACTTAGTGGTGTTCCACCGGACAGCAATAGTCTGGCTCAGGGAGATGTGATTACGGCTGGACTCGACTGGGTCATCGCATCGGAGCTATCCTGGAGGGCAATGGCGCAGACTCATGAAGAGCTCGGAAGTCCAGGGATCTGGAGGAACGATCGGTTCTGGATTGCTGGCGACCATGTCGTTCACCCGACAATCCTTGACAACCCAACCATCAAAGTCTACGTGGAGACGGCAGAGAAGGCGAAACGTGACTTCAAGATGACAGAGTTCCAAGGCATGAATTACACCATCATGCACACAGAATTCGTTCGAGAGAGAGCTGAGCCGGGAATGCTGATCGTGGGATCCGACAGCCATACGTGCTCCGCAGGCGCTGTCGGCTGTTTGAGCATTGGCCTTGGAGCCGCAGATGTCATGACTGCTCTAGCTCTTGGCGAGACGTGGTGGAAAGTGCCTGACTCTGTGCTCATTGAGTTGACTGGCCAGCCTGCGTTCGGCATCTCGGGCAAGGATGTGATTCTGCACATTCTGAAAGAACTGAAGCGAAACACCGTGGCGGCGGAAAGAATCGTGGAATTCGCCGGCGATGGGGTTCGACATCTCTCGATCGATGCACGATTTGCGATTTGCAATATGTGCACGGAGTTCGGGGCCATCACTGGACTCTTTGTGCCTGATGCTGTCACGCAGAACTATGTCTCGCGGCGGAAACGTAAGGCGTATAAATCTCACTCGCTTTACTTTCAGCCTGATAAAGACGCCGTCTATGCACATCGGTATACGATCGACCTCGCTGCAGTGGAGCCGTCAATCGCAGTCTATCCGAATCCCGACGATGTGGTTCCAGTGTCCGAGAAGTCTGGAATACCGCTCGACGGAGTCTTCATCGGAGCTTGTACGACAACCGAAGAAGAGCTTGTGCTGGGTGGTTTGACGTTGAAAGTCGGTCTCAAGAAGGGTCTGCCTTTGGCTAAAGGGAAACGGCATTATGTTCCCGGTTAATTGCCTATCGTTGAGAAGCTCAAAGAGCTCAGTCTGCTAGAAGTCTATGAGGCCGCCGGCTTCACAAGAGGTCCGCCAGGATGTTCTCTCTGTGTCGGTCTCTCAGCGGAGAAAGCTTCCGAAGGCGAAACATGGCTGTCGTCACAAAATCGCAACTTTGCGAACCGTATGGGAAAGGGGTCTTTCGGCCACTTATCATCTGCCGTTGTCTGCGCGGCTTCAGCTTTCAGCATGACCATCACGGACCCAGCTCCATTCTTAGCTCAGCTGGATCAGGCATTTTTTGCGAAATACAAGGGCCTCGGTGGCGGTGGCCTTGCACCAGTCGATTACTGTGAGCCAACGCCGTTCCAAGATACGACCGAAACACATGAAACTACGAATTCTCCTACCAATACTATCAAGCCGCAAAATTCAGACGCGTTGCAACAACCAACCTCAGTCATCCAAAGCAAAGTCATCACGCTCGGCGACTTCATCGACACCGATGCCCTCTCCCCCGGCTTCACCTTGACAAGCTGCACAACAGACGAAGAGTTCGGCCAGCACGTCCTCTGCCACACCTATCCCGAGTTCCGCAGCAAAGTCAAATCCGGCCAAAGAGTAGTCGTAGGCGGCACAGCTTTCGGCGTCGGCAGTAGTCGAGAGTCAGCAGTCTCAGCACTCAAAGGCGCCGGAGTCGAAGCCGTAATCGCCAAACAATTCGCTTTCATCTACGGCCGCAACCAGCCCAGTTTAGGACTCCTCGGGATTGTGATGGAAGATGAGGAGTTCTATGCTGCTGCTCGAGATGGTGAAGCTATTACGATTGATTTGCCGCAGCGGATGATAACTGTCGCTGAGAAGGAATTTGCTTTTCGACTTTCGGAAATTGAGGATCGGTTGACGGTTAATAAGGGTGTGGCGGAGTCGTATAGGAGGCATGGGAAGGCGATTTGGGAGAAGCTTATGGAGGTAGAGCCGGTGGATAAGGAGGAGGGAGTTTCGCGGACTGCTCAGGAGAGGACTGATACGAGTTTACAGTGGTAATCTAATTATCATAAAGTGATGGCGGATATATGGACTCTCATTCAGCCTCATCAGTCCTCCATATTGCGTTTTCCATTTGAACGCCACCCTCGTTTGCGTGTGGGTGAAGACGCTTTTTGGGCGATTCGACTCATTCGTTCGCAAGCTGACGACCTGACAAAGTTTTATTATGAGTCCGATGTGGAAGGGGTGCTCTGCTCATCGATTGTCTGGATCGGATTCATCTATATCAGATGGAATCGCTCTTGAAGACTGGCAATTCTGTCTCATCGGCCATTACGGGAGTATGATGAGATGGAGGACTGCCATCTTGACAATTCCAATGGCCCTCCCTTTTTCTGATACTGGAGACATTCAATTCATCGTGTTTGTTCCCACCCATCAAGCACAATCTCGATATCATCCGTCCGACAATCTGTGCAAACAACCTCTAAATCCTCAGCAGGCTCCACGAAAGCCCGCCCATCTTAAAAAACAAAACCATGCCAACGGTAGGCTCCAAAATCCGCGAATTCTTCAAACGCATCTTCCGTCGCAAGAAGCCCAAACCTGTCATCTCAGCACCATTGCCACCAGATCTGGAGTCAGTAGAAGATCCGTTTCGAACGCCGCCACGGAGACGACCACGTCCTTTTATAAATCTGATCAGTGTTGATCGGCGAAGGTCGAATAGTAGCACAGACATCGAGCCGTTTCCGAGATTTAGTCAAGCGCGATGGCCTCCGTTGCCTAGGCGAGAGGTGCCGGTGAGGGATGGGACGAGTGCGATGAGGATGGGGGCGATGGGTGTGTAGACCAGCAGAGAAGAAGAGTCGGTAGGACGGACGGACGGGCGGGCGTGAAAGAAGAAGCTACCACACACCCTTTATTTCTCATTCTTCCCCTCCACCTCAGGATACCAACATACTTCCTCATCAACTCCCCCACCGGATCCGTCAATTCCCTCCCCAACCACCACCCCGGCCCCGGCAAAATGTATCACAAAATCCCCCCTCTCCCACACCCTCCCCGAATCCTATTAATTTCCTCCGCATAAGAATTCATCCACCTCTGCGGAACAACCACCGTACGTACGTACGCTCCCTCACCCCCCTCAAAATTCACCGCCAAAAAAGAAAGAAAAATCTCGAAAAAAAAATTTCCTGCTCATTACAAAGAAATTTCCTCCCCATTTTGCGGACAGATGGCGCCGGAACGAGATGCCCAAATTTGTTTTATCATCCAGGGTGAAAGAGCGGAAGAGGACGGAGCCGAGGTTTGCGGGTTCGTGGTCTTTTTGTCAGGATGCTTTGGATTTGGGAGGAAGGTTTGTTTTCTTGGGGTTCGGCGAAGTGGAGGCTTTGGGAGATTAGAACTAGGGGTTCGGAGATGCATGGTGGTGTTGGTGATGAGGGTGTCGAGGTCCGGGGCCCAGATCCAGGTGTATTTTTTTTTTGCTGAGGGCGAGTGTTGTGGAGTTTGTTCTTGTGCGTGTTAGTGACATGTGTGTGGGATAGTGAGGGTTGGGGATGGTGTACGGACCCAGACTCTGGGGTATGCGGTGCCGTAGTCGAAGTCCCAGAGAAGATCGTAGCCGTGGGTTCGGGCGTAGTAGATTTTGTTTTGGATGGTGATGTCGTCGTAGCTCTGTTATGAATAGGGTGAGCAAGACCAGGATACACCGTGGAATGTATCGCACAGGGCCGGACAGCCTTGGCCAAGGCATGTTTGGCAGACATGACAGAAGAGCGCTGATGAGAGTGTCTACTCGTTCCCCGACTGCGCGTCCAGGTCCAAGACTCTGACCCCTCCCTCTTTAGGTTTTGCCAAGCTATTCTGGATGCGAGTGAGTGAGTCGAGTCGGCATAGGCGCTTAGGCTGATGGAGGATTAGCAGCAGTGGCAGCCTCACAGCTTGTTTATGTTCGCTACCGAACTCCGTCTGTGCAGGGTTGTTATGATATTGCTTCTCATTTTTTAGAATTGACAAGACCAAAGCGATAATGATCTTGCACAGTTTCACTGAGGTCTTCTGCTACAATGTCACTGGATCGCGACGCTCGAGAAAGTGGTTCAACTCCAATCGCGGGGCCCGGGAAGGATGCACCAGCTGCGATCTGCAAGCCATGGCGAGCGACAACTGGGCAGAATTGCCGACGTGCATCGTGAGAAGCTGTTCTGGTTCAGCCCTTCACGCCGACAACTCGTTTATCGTTTGGCGTACTCGACTGAGTCTACTTCATCTATACAAAATGCGGTAAACCTCCTCAGCGATAGCCAAGCTACTCGTCAAACCCGGACTTTCGATGCCAAGCAGATTGACAAAAGTCCCGTCGATGTCGTGTTCCTTCTTGATATAAAAGTCCTGGAAGCCTTTTTCACCACTGGCGACAGCGCCAAGCTTAGCTAGCTTTGGTCTTATCCCAGCGTAACCAAGACTCACAGCTTCAGGATCGATGCCGGGCAGGAAGGACTGGATCTCCTCTAGTGCTTTCTCAAAACGCTTTGCATTCGGAGTGGGTGCGAGATCAGTAGGTGAGTCGACCCATTCCACATCTGGACCGAAGCGTATTTGTCCGGCCATGTCCAAAGTCAGATGCGTTCCGAGACCTCCTAGTCCTGGTGTCGGCGCAGGGTAGACTAAGGTTGATGGTTTTGGCGAGGATTTTGAGTAGCTGAAATATGAGCCTTTGGCATAGTAGGGTGTTCGATGTCGATCTGGAGGAAGTATCATGTTGTTGATTGCGCAAGCATAGAGGCCAGCGCTGTTGATGACTGTCTCTGCTGTGATGAAGGTGTCTTCTTCGTCGGCGGGACTTCGCTCTGGGGTTTGAGGCGTAGGATCGGATGGAACAGGCTGGGAGGCATCTGGTCCTGTCCAAATCCTCCAGTCTGAACTGCTGCTTGAGGGCTTCTCAATTTTCGTGACCGGACTGACCAGCGCTAAAGTGCCGCCTTCGTTCTCGAAGTCTCCTTGAAGCCACTGCATGAAGCCGTGCGAATCTACAATGCCTGTGGTTGGACTTTCAAGGACGCCTGCTTCGGCTCGAACGTCAGGTTCGCGTTGCTTTGCTTCCTCTTTTGGGACGTAGCGAGTTGGTACTCCAATCCATTTTGCAAAGTCGTGCACTTTCTTGATCGACTCCATCTGTGCATCGGTCTGAGCAACGATCCATTTGCCACAATTCATGTGTGGTATATCATGTTTTCTGCACAGATCATACATCATTTCTTTGCCCTGTATGCATAACTTCGTCTTCAATGTATCGTGTCCGTAGTATATGCCCGCATGTATTACCTACAGGATGTCAATGCAATTTCAACGCCTTCGTTCGATGCAGCATTTTTACCTCAGAATTTCGACTGCTGGTTTCGCTTCCAACCATGTCGTGCTTTTCGATCAATACGACCTGAGCGCCATCTTGCTGCTGCAATTTCCTTGCTACGGCCAGGCCAACAACTCCAGCTCCAATAACAGCATGTGTAAAGTCGGCATCGTGGCGACTGCTCGCTGAGAAATAGCGAGCCTGTTGATACAACGCCCTCCCGGCGCGCATCGAGAACATCATGAAAGAACGGCCATCAAATCAGACCGCAAACGCAAATGTGCCAGCCTCGTAACCGTACAGAATATCAATAACGCAGCGCAAATCAGATCATACCGCCGCCATGAGACCGGAAAGAAAGCAGCAATATCGATAATCGGCCGGGTGGGACGGAAGGCCGGAGGATGATCGGCTGTAGAATAGGGGATGTGATATTAAGTTGAGGCGCGCATCTCGATTTTAATGAAAGGAATGTGAACGAGACATGGAGAAGAGATGCTGAGGACAATACGACTCTTCTGAACTATTTTGAGGAGGCTTGACATCTGAATAGAAGAGAGAATATGACGTAGGTAGCCGAGTGAGTGAATGAAGATTTCAACGAAGCCAATCAAAGCAGAGGCGATTGTCTATTGAAATGAGGGCAAGTGCTTCTCACGTGGGTGGTTGCTCAGCCACGGCACGATCATCGAAGCTTCCGCACGATGGGGAGTTGATGTTCACGAAGCGTCTTTCTTTTCCTGCCATGTCTCTGCATTTGCATGTGAACGTCCAAGCGGCGAATGGGCGGCAGAAGTGAGGGAGTGGACAGACGAAGTAACGATGCGATGAATCCCAACACCTCCCTGCCACCGGACTCTCACACAGCACGCCGGCTTGAACATGCTACCCCGGAACATCTACACCAGACGACGCGCCGAGTCTTCATAGGACCCATCCCCGAAGGATGGCTCAGAAGCCACAGAAAAGAATGGTATCGATCATACGTGGGCTATCGTGGAAGTCGACAGGCGACTTTCAATGCATCGACGCGCCCAGTCGTATCCTTCCCGGCGCACGTTGGCACAGGCACGACAGATGGCGATGTCATCGCATCTGGAAGTGAAGGGCCCACAAGCACGACAAGCCTACTCAGAGGCCAGCCGGGTCAGCGAGTGAGTTCTGTGACCGACGATGGCCCAGCGGTACAGCCACAGCCATCGGGCGACGATGTCCCGCCCTCGACCGAGCCAACGATCGATTCGATACTGCAGAGCAGAGCAGGCACATCGCGTGTTGACAGAGCTGCTAGCAAACTGCCTGGGCCAAAGCTGCGATTCACCGCGGCAGGCAGACTTCAGCTTCGTGCAAGAGCGTCGCGATTGGCCGCGAGAGGGACTTTCCGCAGCAGCAAGACGAAAGATGGCGAGATGATGAAGGTCGACAAGATGCTCATCCGGGCAGACATCACTCCGCAGTCACCTAGAGACTATGACGAGAAGCTCAGCCAAGGCATTGAGACGAAGGCGGTCGACAAATGGCGGGAGTTCATGGTGGTCTGCCGCAAGCACGCCGAGGATGATGCGGAGGCTGTACTTCAATTCTATCAGACGAGAGTCATCCAGGTCTCTGAAGGCGAGAAAGTCAAGAAGGCGCCGAAAATGGAGCTACTCTTGAGCAACAGCCGGACACATGTCAATCTCTTCTCTGCCCTGGACAAGACGCTCTGTGTGTGGACGACGGGTAATAGGCGAACAACCATATACTACTTGCGGGCGCCTTCTACCGCGTCGGCCGTAGAATGGTATACATTTCTGCGCGGCGTGCTTGGACATGGGCGAGCTAAGACCTTGCAAGTCAACATACCGGATCTCAGTGTCAGCTTACGCCTCGACGACCCTTTCCGATCGCTCGAGGCCTCTCAAACCCTGGCACAGGCCGCGGAAGGCGATGACGAAGCGCTCATCAAGGCGATCAACGACGAGAAAGGTGCTGCCGGCGCGATTGTGTCAAGATGCATGGAAATGCTCAAGCAGTCACCAGAGTGGGCAGACGTGCTGCAAGCTTGGGCTCAGAAGGGCCGCGTTGGCCTTGCATGGAAGCGCTACGATCGTCTGGAATGGATCTATGGTCAGGTCGAGCAGCGAATGTACGGCACCATCGCCATGGAGCGCACGCACGACCTTGAGCTGCGACCCAAGGATCACTATCCCATGACAACCAAGCCGGTCCATGGCGATGCATTGCAAGAACCAGCTCCAGTGGAAGGCTTCCTCATCCGCCTGACTTCTCGGAAAGGCAAAGAGCAAAAGCTTGGCCGAATGATGTTCAAGCGACTTTACTTCAGCACATACAACCAGTATCTAGTCTTCCTACGACCTGCGAAAGCGACCCCACCGCCACCACCGAAGATGCCGAGCCGCGATAGTCACAGCAATGTTCCGTCCGCCAAGGACATTTCTGTACATGTGCCACTGGCGTACGACGTCGAGCCATACCCTCTCGAGGGAGACCACATTGCCTGGCTTGACACTGAGGACATCAGATCTGTGAAAGAGCAAGAGGACTGGGACAAAGCAGCGGCTGCTGAGGCAGAACGGAATGTCAACATGGTGTCCTCTTGCGATGGCTTTATCGACTTGTGCGACGTGCAGGCCGTGCGAAACTTCCACGCGGGAGCATACCCAGCCGATGAGAACATCGACGATGGTGAAGATGTGGATTTCCACGACAACAGCCTTCAGGACGATGGACAGACCACGGAAGTCGATTCCGACCGAGTCTTGGAGCTGGTCATGAAGAATGGATTGGTCATCCGTCTTCAGGCATTCAACAAGAAGACTCGGAACGAGTGGCGAACGCGGCTTGGACAATTGACGAGCTACTGGGCTTCGCGGTGCAAAGCAGATATGGATCTCTACAAGCTCACTCGCGAGCAGAATTTGCGAGAATTGGGCATTGATGAGCGTGCCGAAGCTGTCGTCGGTCAGTTTGCCTACAAGTGGGAAGTCGGCAAGTCTTTCGCATCACCAACTCTGTATAACTTGTGTGGCATCTCCGAATGCCGGACCATACATTTATCAGGCACACTCTTCCGCAAGCCACGCAAACACACGACTTTCGAACGCTGCCATGTCATCTTGTCGCATGGGCGCCTCCTCATCTTCCAAGACACCCTTCGCAAGCGCACTGGCAAACGAGTCAGCCACATCCACCACGAGCGAATCGCAGCCATTTCCCTCCAAGGCTGTTACCTGTACTCCGGCCTCCTCACGGAAAATGACCTCTTATACCAAAACCAAACCTTTGACTCCAACACCCCGGGGCACCACGCACTGCCGAGGATATATCTGGAAGACGGTTGGACCAGTACGGACGAGGATGCCATGACGACGTTCGTCATCTGGCATGCTAAGAGCAATTCTTGGTTCAAAAGTGCTTCGACCGTCGACGATATTAAAACGCAAGAGAACTCCGTCAGCGGTAAGAAGGTGCGGACGAAACTTACTCGCGTCAGTCAACTTGGTGCTACCGGGAGGACGGTTGTGTTCAAGGCTCGGAGCCGCGCGGAGAGGGATCATTGGGTTCTTGCGCTTCAGGTTGAGATTGAACGGCAGGCGAGTTTGAATGATGAGGTTAGACTGGTTGATGGTGAGTGAAGAACGAAGAAGACAGGCGTGTGAGTTAAGCATTACACTACGACGGGCCTTTTTTTTTTCTGAGCGATGGTTTTCAGCGATGGCGTTCATGATGATATGGAGATACCCATACCCAAGAGCTTTTTTTGTTTGGAAATATATCTAAGGCATGAATCGTGTGAACAGCATAGTAAGTAGAGTAATCCAGCAGACATGCATAGCTTAGAACTATTGGTCCAGCTCCATGTCTTTCGTGTGCCTTTCATCGAACTTGAACTTGCTTCCTCCTCCTTCTCCCACCACAGCATCGGCATTCGCCCTCAACGCCTTGCACAATCCATCCCTCTGCACACAATTCTCGAATGAAAAGCTCTTAGCTCACTCCTCCAGCTCCTTAAACGACATATTCCCGAACTGTTCCGCGAATTCATCACTCAAGCACCTAGCTATCTAAATCTGATTCACCACTCTCACAATCTGCATTAATCTCATCCGCATAAACAGGCCCCCACTCCCCATTCCAAATCGTTCCCCCTCCGATCTTCCTTACCCTCTCCCCTATACTCGCATAATTATAATACCTAAACATTCCCTCCTACTAACTAACCCCTCGAAAACGTATTCCTATCTAACTATAATATATACTCCCCCTATCTACTATACTCTTCGTAAAACTCTACTATTCCGAATTCGAGAATATCGCTCGTCGCGAGGCTCGTTTTAGCAAATTCTTTAATATCCCCGCTACCTCGATACCGCTTTATAAAATCTTCTCCTATTACTATTACTATAGTATAGTCTATAATTAATCCGGGATTGTAATCCGGATTAGCTTAGTAATTTAATCTGATCTAATCTGGCTTATTCCCACTAACTAAGCAATCTACTAATTCAATTTAATCTAGCCCCTTTTTAAAGCAATCTAATTTAATCTAGCCCTTTTTAAAGCGATCTAATTTAATCTAGGGGCTAAAGGGCTAAATTAGGTAGGCTTAGCAATTCAATTCAATTTAATTCAGATTATTCTTACTAATTTAGCAATTTAATCTAATCTAATCTAGCCCCTATTAAAGCAATCTAATTTAATCTAATCTAGCGGTCCTAGTAATCTAATTTAATTTAGGGGGGATCTAGATTAATTAGATTGATTGTAGACTACACTGTCCGAACCTAGGGATTATTTATTAGGAGAGGAAAAAATTCTGCGTTCCTGCGGCGGTGACAGAAAATTTTGTGAAGAAAGAAGAAAGAAGAAGGTACTTTTTTTTGTTTTCGGGGCCTAGAGTTTTTGTTTTTTTTTTGCATCGAGTAACGGTATTAGGATTCTTGGGCTGGGAAGCCGGTAATGAACTATGTGAGGATATGTTCTGTATGTTTTTTGGAGGGGATGGATGTTACTCCGTACGTTTTCCATCTTTATCTATCTGCCGAAACCGGCGCCGCGAAAGATGATGGGTTGACCATCGCTGGTAACGAGTTTGTCGTTTTGGACTTTGAGGATGCCTCTTGGGGTCAAATTTTTTTTTTGAAGACGGTTGGTGACAGATACACCATAGAAATGTATTGTATTGACGAAAAGAAGCTGGTCTGGTTTGGTCTGGCTCTTCATATCATCTACTATCTGGTGGGTCTGAGAGGCATTCAGCCCAAAGTGATCCCAGCTTCGATTTGGGGGTCGGGTAGCTACTCGCTGCGATACGCACGTCGCTTTGGACGTTTATTGCTGTCGAGACTTGTCAGGCTCATGATGTCCCTCACACACGTTGGAGGGGCCTTCTTCCATCTTTTGATGCTTTTTCGACTTACAACTCCGGCTCGGAGTCCTCAATGACACACTCTCTCATAGTCAGCATCACTGACTTCCCTCAAAACAGTGCCTGCGTTTGTAAGTAGAATGGGATTCGCGTGGCGGCGAGAAGGGTTGGACATTCGTCGATCAAGGTCTGAGTGGTTGTCAGTCATATCAGTATCAGTACCACGGATTGGAAGGTCGTACGGCTTGTGTGTATTGGTGCCCAGGCCAAAACCGCCCGTGCTATCTTGCGTCGATCGTGGAGACTGCATCGCTCGAGCACCAAAACCGAGTGATGCTTTCGATCGTCTGCGTATTGCATCTGCGATTCCACCCCGCGGGTTTGAGGATGTTGGAGCGCTTATGAACGGTGTCGGATTGAGGGCGTTCTGGTCGCTTCTTCCTGAGGCGTTGATATTGTGCAGAAATGTATTCGCTGGTGGGCCCATCCAGTTCGGAAAGTGCATTGGGCCTTGGTTGAAGTGAGGATTTGTGGTTGGTCCAAATGTGCCAAGTGAGTTGTCATATCGTTGCTGAACAGGACTTGATGTGTTCATGGTCGTGCTCTGAAACTGCCTCAAGGCTGGCATGCCGTTCATCTCCATCGGCCGCGGACCTGCGAGCGCGGTGTACGCAGGCCATCTGGAGAGACTTCTGTCCTGCATGCCATGTTGGGGCGCAGCCTTGGCAATTCTTGAACGCTTCTGGGGTTGTGGAGGGATGATGGGGCGTGAGTTGTTGGGGATGGATAAGCTGGGCATTTCACTTGGTTGTTCTGTCTTCGCGCCGTCATGACTTTTCTGGCTTTCGCTCGTCTCTGCGTCGGTCATTGCAACATCTTCCATCGAATCAGGAGTCTGCTTAAGCTCAGCCTTGACGTTCCGTTTGGCTTTGTCAGCCCTGATCTTGGCAAGTCTCTGCAGAGCTGTCGCCGAATAGGGCAGGATTTCAGCGGCTTCGAAGCCCGCGAATTCGATCTCTGCGTAGGGACTGTTTACCATTCGCTTGCCACTCGCTGGTGCGGAGGTAGACTTCGGAGAAGGCGGATCGAAGTGGAGGATGATATTCAGCCTTCCGACGTGTTGCGGGGCCCATGACGCTTCTGTAAGATCCGATAAGGGTCGTCGTGCGGACGGGATTCTATTCAGTGTTTGGTTGTCGGTGAGGTCGTGTCTAGTGCGGCCATATGTGGGTCGATTGCATGCTTCGGTCGAGAAATGCCAGGTGATGTTGACGGTGGGGTCCAGTGTCCAGAATTGGTGTATGGCGCGGAGAAGAGCACGAGAAGTCTGCTGATTGGGGTCAAAGACAAGCAGTCGTCGGCCAGCATCGTGGCAGTCCAGGAATCGCCACTTGGAAAAGTCTTCGGCATCGAGCACATGCTTCTGCACCATTGCGGTTAAGCGTGGACTGGATGCGTGCTGCTGGGGGGAAGTCGGGCCTTCAAGGGGCGCAGCGGAGGGGGTCGAGAATATCGATGATTGTTGCTTTGTTCTGTGGTGCAAAGCATGGCATGGCAATAGTCTCTCCCTCGTTCCGCATCGTCAGGCAGTCGCTAGCCGCATCGATATCCTTCTCTTCTTCGCCCGCACACCAAGCACAATCCCGAGGCCCAGAATCAACGGAAACAGTGCGGCTGTCAGGCATACCGATGAATAAGCACCGACAACATGCTTCGTTCTCCCATGTCGGCGTCGCCTATTCTGGAATCGAGAGCACGAGGCTCCGACGCGTCGTGCGGAAGCAAAATCGGCGGAGCCAATTTAGAGTTCGCGCTCGTTGCCGGCAGCGACGGAATTGAACGAGCTGTAATCAATACTTGATTGACCTTCCTATCCTATCCTATTCTTCTTGCCATCGAACATTATACACTATACATGCGGCACAGTCTGGTCAGAATGGCTTCTCCAGTCGGACACAATCGCCGCCATTACGATGTTCTGGTCCTTGGCGCTGGCATGTCCGGCTTGGCTTGTGCTGCGAGACTTCACGAGAATGCCTACTTCAGAGGCGAGCATCGTCTGAAGGTGCTGGAGGCACGCAATAGGATAGGTGGTCGAATCAATGCCGTCTACGTCAACGGCCATCGCCTTGATACCGGTGCGAATTGGATTCATGGCATTGGCACCAAAGACAAGCCCAATCCGCTAATGCACATCCTGCCTCACAAAAGGTACAGACAGCTGGGAGGCCAGGTCACATTTCGACCAGCACAGACGACGTCCAGCGCTATCCAACATGGTGATGGGGTGGAAATAGAGCCAACGCAGCATCTCGACACGGGAAATGTCCGCTTGCATAACGACCTAGTCATCCCTTCGAAAGTGGCCGAGATCATGATGAACGCCGTCTGGCCAATGATTGACTCACTACATGAAACCGCAGCCAAAGTTCCCGAGCACGAAGCAGCTCGAACGACAATGCTCCATGCTGTAGCACAAAATGTGGAGTTCAAGGAGGCATTCAAAAAACTGCCGCAAGAATATCATCTCGCTATGAATGCCATGCCACAGTTCATCGAGTCAATCGAGGCCGCACCCCTGGCTGCTCAATCCGCTGAAAATCCTGTCGATAATCCAGGTATGAGTCTGCTAGAATTTAGCGTTGAAGACTTCGATGGTGATCAAGTCTTTCTCCAGGATGGCTACATCGCTGTCATCGATGAAATCGCCAAGCCTCTCGTCGAAGCTGGCTTGATTCAGCTAGACACGCAAGTTCTACTCATTGACTGGCAGCACAGTCCAATCAAAGTCATCACCAACAATGGTGCATATACCGCTAACGACGTCGTATGCACCCTTCCCCTCGGCGTCTTACAAAATCATCTCAAAGCCACGGCACCCAAATCTTTCTTCAAACCAGATCTGCCTTCCGACAAGCAGACTGCGATCAAAAGCCTTGGCTTCGGCACCTTGGACAAAATTTTGCTCGTATATGATCATCCCTGGTGGAACGAAGAGCCCTACACGAAAATTTTCAGAAAAGGACTCGTCTCCACACCGTTCGCTGCAGAGCCAAATGCGACACCAGATTCGTTACTGGGCTTCACCGACGAACTCGCAGGCATTGAACTCCACGAAGACGGAACTGCAACCCCAGGACTTCGCGATCTGTATGTAGTCAACCTACACAACCTCACCAACACCCCCGCCCTCTCCGCCTTCGTCTCCTGCGCAAACGCAGTCGAGGTGGAAGCCATGTCCGACGCACAAGCGGGAGGCATCGTGCACCGCGCTTTGACTTCATGGCTGGGACGCGCCCCGCCGACACCAGATGTCATTCATGTGACTCGTTGGGCTGCCGATGAATTCTCGTTTGGGAGTTACAGTCATATGATCACGGGTCTTTCCGAGACTCAGCATCGTGTTGCTTTTCAGGATCCTGTTTGGAATGGTGAGGGTGGGGTGCTTAGGTTTGCCGGCGAACATACTAGTCGGGATCATTTTGCTATGGTTCATGGGGCTTTGCTGAGTGGATGGAGGGAGGCTGATGGGATTTTGGCGGGGCGGAAGGCTTGAGGGGTTCGATAGTATGTCCTCAATTCTGAATGCTGGTGTTCGTGAGACAGTGTTCGTCTAGCGAGGCCAACTCGGATGATCAAGCGCATTGAACATGCCATCTTCGGCAGCTTCGCACGATCGGTCTCCATCGCAATTGATGAGTACACAGTCGAGTGCGGGCGATGCAAGATTACGTGAAGCGAGTCGTGTGCCTGGAAGAGCAGAAGTCGCCCCACGCACACTGCGAAAACCCGTGTGCCATATCCTGTGTTCCGTAATACAATACTGACTTATTTGATAGGTCTAGACTCCCGACCTGCTCAACAGGATCAAATTCATAGAAGTTGATCCTCAGACGAGGCGCTTTACCACTCCACACCTGTCGCGCGCACATGCTCTCATGGTAGTTTTCTTTACGTACACTCACACACACCAAACATACCCTGTCAATCCAGCCTTCGATTTCAGCTCGCGTTCGGGTTCATGCAACTCATGACACGACAGCAGAGAACGAGGCCGGTCGGAAGGTCTGTCAAGGCTGTATGTGGCACAACGCTTCGCCTCCACAACTTGCTGGTGCTACCGAGGCTGCATCACAAGAGATGTCCGGAACACCTTCTAGTGCTTTCGCGTTGCAATGCCAAGCGCTGTATCA